TGTGTGTGTGTCTGTGTGTGTCCGTGTGTGTGTGTGTAGTGCAGTGAGAGCATCGGCCCCGCGCCTCTCCTTCCCGCCGCTGCAGCTTGACTCACAAGCGGAACTCCCACCGTCTCTCCACGGACGGACCGCGAGGCGCGCGCAGGTCGGAGTCCAGAAACTCGAGTCGACAACAGTCCAGAAAACTTCTCCAAACATGTGCACGTGCACATATAATCTGCCTCACACACGCGCGTCATGACCCACCAACCTCAGATCAAATAGCAGTTAATGTCAAACTTTCAATGGCACGTCGCGCTGGTGGGGATCGTCACAGTTCAGACTAGGTCGTGGGGGTGGGGGGGGGGGTGGAGTCGATTCCCTCCCCCAAACTCCGTCACTTTCCACACTGTTTTGATTTGAGAACATCTTATGAGTCTCCTTTTTCCATCATTACCTCAGCGCAGAGAGGCGGATGCAGAGCGCCTTTACGCACGTTCGTTTCTGATTGAGGGCCGTCTGTCTGCTAGGTTTTATAGTTTTGAAATGATAAAATAAAGATTTTAAAAAGAGCTGTTTTAATCACAAGAAGGAGAAAAGTAGCTGATAAACACAGAAGAGCTAAAAACGAAATGATGCAGTTCTTAAGTATGCTCAGATCCTCTTCTAACAAATAAATGGCCTCTTCTATATATTATTTTTGTGACAGTATTTCTGCATTATGTTTGAAAAACTTTCAGATTTGTCTGTTAAAATAAAATAAAAAAACAAAAACAAATGAACACTGGATTTTTAGGAGAAAAGTGGTGCAGAAGTTCAGTTCTTTTGGGAATTGTTTAAAAAAGGGAAAACATAAAGTTAAAATCAGTCTGAAACATGTCTTTAAAAAACTTTTTTATGATTTGTTTTATTTTGTCTTAAAAATTTCCAGCTTTGTATTAGCTTTAGACATTCCTTGTAATCCAAACCACGAGCATCAGTTTTACTATTTAACTTTAAATTCCCCCTATATTAAAAGAAGCTCTGTGGGCAGCTTGCATGAGTGGAATTCATTGGGTTAATAAAAAATAAACATTTGCGTCGAAGTATAGAAAAGTAATATAATGGCAGTGGACTGTTCTTAAATAATCCGTAAAGTTACAAACTCCCACCAAGAACAAGGAGACACATGATGAGAGGTGATGGAAAAGATGGAGTGAAGGTGCTCCTTTTTTTCCCCTTCCTCTCCTCCTTCCTGCCTCCCTTGTTGGGTGTGCTGCGGAGCAAGCAGGGTTGAGAGGGCAACTGCTGACCAGCCCTCTTTCTTTCTCTGTCTGCTGTTACTAGGTCAACACACACACACACACACACACACACACACACAC